CGATAAACAACACTAGTGAAATGTCATAATGACAGATAACCAGCCATATTCATGTTAGAACCAGTACAATATCTTCCACCGACAGCCACCAAGCTGGTATTGTTAACTTATGAATATGACTGAAATCACAACAAAGCAATAAGGGATATCAGGATTATTAAGGACCTTCCTTTAAAAAAACCAGTTCACGAGCATTCCCGCTAACAATAAATTTATTAAATAATATACATATATAGATAACAGTTGAACGCGCAGGATCTGCTCCAGAACGGGTTCTAAAGGAAGCGAATAGAGTTTTACGTTTTTGTTTTAGGGAAAATAAGGATGATGGGCCCACAACCGACTGTCATCGTCCAGATGCTGGAAGATTATGACGTAGAAGACGTGAAAAAATCGGGAACCGGCGTGGGGTGAACGTCCCATTGATTCGCGAGAGAGTGGCGGGAACGTGGGTTTGTTTTTGGAAGCAGTGGCGCAACGCGATCGAGCAATTTCGAGATTCGATTTTTTTCTCTAAATTTACAGTCTATTTTTAGTATAAGGAGGCGTTTTATGTAGTTAGGGTTAAATGTAAATACTTTCCAAACTGTTGAAACTATACGAAAATTTTAATGAACCTTTTTTATTTACAATACCATTGTCTACAAATTGTATTGAATGCTCGCATACCTACGAATAACCGTTTACGAGTTGCAACTGATTAAAATTTTTCAAAAAATATTTTTGTACATTATTTACGTATTGTCAAATTCAAAAATACAACTAAAATTGTAATTTAGTCAGTGTCGTCCAAATAGGGTGCCGATTCACGCCCCAGGAAAAAGTAAACTAACAATTTTTTGCAGTTATATGTCGTTTAGACTAATCAAACTGTTTGCCAAGTTTAGTAAAAACATATACAAAGTGGCCCAACGAAAATATGGGAGTTTTGCGTGTTAATATCGTTAATATCGTACGCTTTGATTTTAGTATTTTATCATAACCTCAACTGTCATATCATTCTTCTCCACACCGGCACTATAATCGATAGATTTTAAATAGGGAAAGCTCCCAGTAGGGATGTGTTGTGTTGTGTTGTATCGTGCTTGTGTAACTAAGAACCTCAAAATTTAGCATAAAAAATTCGAAGTAACAACTATCCAGCGTAACTACGGCACTTGACAAAAATTAAGAGCAATACAGCACAATAGGCATCCAGCACGCATTGAAGACATCTGCGGATGGTTTGTTTATTTTTTGGATTGTTTTTTTTCTTTCCTCGATACATTGTGCATTTGGTATCTAAGTATATATTGTGAATGGGATCATTTTAAAGTGGGTAATTTTTTTGATCGGCTGCCATACTTAATTGACATTGCGGGGTATTTTTTAATAAATACTATTTTTGATCATTCTGTGTTATTCACTACACTTAAAAAATGACGTGAAGAAGAATAAGAAGCAAAAAACAGAGAACTTTTATTATTAGAAGTAACCATAGCGCCTTGCAGAGGCAGATCAATGTTAAGTTGCTAGATGGATAGAAAGACTGCAACAATATAACTTCGAGATATTGCATCGAAGAAGGCGACTCTGTTCATACCGACAGGTAATTCCATTCTTATCCTTATTTTAGCACTTCATTTGAAAGCTAATTTTATTGTCAATTTAATGCACAACATAACAAAACATAACTGAATAAAACAAAACTTAAATAATTAAAAAATCTTGCAGAGCTTTAACGTTAAGAAATACAAACTTTAATCGCAATTAACCAAAATAACAAATTTTTGTTATGCATAAAATTAGCATTAAAATGAAGTGTCATATTTTACAATACGTAAGAGGATGCTAAAATTAAATGTAACGCAATAATAATAATACTCTTGGGGGGGTGGGTTGGCTCAGTGGTTAGAGTCATGATTTTGAGATCGGAAGGTCTCAGGATCGAATCCCACCGGTGTTAAGGATTTTTATTCAATTAATAAAAAAATTAAATATTAATTCTAATGCATAGGTAGGATTCCCCACTCGACCATTCACTGTTGGGTTCTAATTAACAGTGCTGTTCCTAAAGTGGCGCTGGGAAATAGTAACAAAGCCTACACCGAACACGAGGCTAATGGCCGTAGTAGTCGACGCCGATGACACCAAATTAAAAAAAATACTCTTCCTAATTCACCCCCTTACGAGTGGTGAATTTGAACCCCTGAGGCCGACTGAGCTTGTGTGAGGAAGGGACGGCTATTATTATTATTTGCCGTGGCACTATGGGGCGACTTAAGATTATTGATGGTGCCATTGGACTTATAGGTGAGGAAAACCCGGAAAACCCCGCACCCGCCATCATCGAAATGGTAACGCACTGTGATTTGTAATCTGGATGCCATATCAACAGAAATTAAAATACTGCGAATACAAAACCCATCAGATCCTACAACAAACCATAAAAATTAATTAAAAAAATATATGATCTGCTGTAGGATTCGAAGCCGTGTTAACTAAACCACTGAAAGGCCCGAACATACTGCGTTACCAAGTCGATGAATAGTCATATTGATTATTTCTTAATAAAATTAGCTTTTCAATGATGTATCATACTTGACTACCTATTTAAATTGTGTTGGTTATGGTGACGGAGTGGAGACAGTTGAGGATTTTATAACATTTTTTAACATCTACGATATTAATACCCAAAATCCCTATGTCAAATTTTCGTTAGGCCACCTTGTATACTGATTTCATAGTTCTAGTACATACATGTTAACAATAACGCCCTGTAACTCAAAAATGGATGTTCTAAAAAACCTTATTTAATTTTAAGATTTCTGTCAGTGGTATCATTTAATCCAAAAAAATTTAAACCTCTTGTATAAATATAATTTTGTAAAACACTCAACTGATTGTCAAATTTTGATTGTTTTAATTAAAAAATTATAAAAAAATAAAAAAACTTAAGTTTTAAATGGGTTTTAATGAAAAATATTTTTTTTTTGCTAACATGAATAAAATATACCCTAACAGGTTATTGATAGTTACTATTTTCTTGAGTTTTAAGAATTCTATTAGGCACGCATCTCTTATAGTAGGTCCTACTTATGTTAAATAGTATTTAAATAAAAGAAACCAACAAAAGTATGGAAATAGAATATGAATTAATTAAATAATAGAAAACCTTGAACATTATTCAAAACAATCTTTGAAAAAATATATAAGCTACACAAAAATATAGAATTAATAAGAACACAGATGTATGGAAACAAGAACTAATGAATACAATATGAAAATAAAAGCAAAGTAGACACAAAAACAACAGAAAAAATATTTGTTAGAACGAAAATAACTTTCTAAAATGAAAGAAGGCTATTGTTAAAAAATGATTTATCCACATGTAAGTAGTATAAATGCCGTTTAACGTATTGTCCAGTATTATAAAAACTTCCGCTTGGCAATAAGCTACGCGCGAAGCAGTTGAAGACATAGGCGAGATATAGCTTTCTCACTTTATGCACTGCAAACATTTTTCAATCAAGCAGCAAGAATTTCTATAGGAATCATAACTTAGATACAAACCACAATTCTACCCGATAAGATAGAAGGAACTCTTACATAGATTGCAATAATTTAAGAAAAAACATCGCCGATCTGGGACAACTATTAAGAACTTATGAAGCCAGAATAATATAGAAGAAAACTATTGTATCGCGATAACAAATGACAAAAAATTCAATGTATAAAGTTTCATCCGACACCTTAACAATAATATAAAAAACAATTTGAATGAATGTATGAAAAATTCATTAATATAAAATATATAGAACACAATGGAAGTTGTATGACAATTTATAGGTTATATGTCTATAAGACTAAAAGAAGGATTTACAAAATATTGCTAGTATTTTTGTTTGTAGTATAATACTTACAGCAAATGAAAATCATAATGGTAGCAACGATTAGTTATTAAGACATAAATTTACCTAGAAGAAAGTTTTTAAAGTTCAAACCGTTGGAAGTTCCTCGAAATTTAATGGTGAAATGAATAATTCAGTGAAGACATTTTACAAGAAAGTAAAAACGATTCCAATAATTAAACGAAAAATAACTGAAATTTAACGAAGCCAAATAAATAAGAACCTTTTTCTTAAAATCAGATAATTGCTATGTTTTACACTGCATTTACAAACTCTCTTGACAAAAGAAGACAAAAGAAAATTAGAAATTTATAACAAGCATTTTTGGATATTTACAGTATTTTTTGTGAAGAAAGTTTGAATGAAAGCTTTCAACTAAATGGAGTTTTAACACAACCACTACAAAAGTATGAGTTGTAAACGATGAGCAAGGAGGTAGAAAATTTTTGGTACCATGGAACTAAATAAGATGTAAAACACCAAAGAACTATCATTTTAATTTTTTATATAGTATAAATCAATTACAAATACCCCTGTTTAATTAGCATATCAAAATTGGTAAAAAGTATTCATGTTATCAAAAAAATGTTACAGGACGCAATTTGTATCGGCAAAACAATTTAAAATTCTCTTAGTACAATTTACCCGCGAAATAAATAATTAAACTCTCAAACCCGTTCCGTTCAACGCCACTGCGATCTTCCCCTTATCATTACCAAATTTCCGTATCCGTAACTGACGCCGAAAGCACCCTAACTCTATTTTCCGCACTATCCCTAGGAATGATGACGCGTGCAGGGGAAGCCAACAGCATTTTTTGCGCATGCTCCTGCGTGTAAACGTGACACTGTTTCTGGCACAGCTTCGGCGACACCACGGGCGACACGGTCGCGGGATAGTTTATGCGTTCCCGCCACAACTCCGTTTCGATCTCTTTTTCGATGCGATCCTCGATATCTAACTTTTCCAATTTCTTATTCAACATTTCTAAAGTTACGGGAGCATTGGCTGTTCGGTAGCTCTCGCTTCGACGGATTTTACCGATCTTTCTGTTAGGAGTGACTTTGGTGAGAGGTTTCGGGTTGCGGATAATCGGGGAATGGATCTTACCTTTGTCTTGAGCAGAAAGATTCTTCCTGGCGTCTTGCATGTTAACGTAAGCTCCTTTGGAGGCTTTAGGCGACGTAGGCGTATTAGCTGGCGTTACTATGGTGGATGGAGGTTTTCTGATAATTTCAGCTGTACCAGATGAAGCTTTGATTACTATCTGAGTTTGGGGTGATAACGGACGGTTGAATTCGACTGATGGAATGGCTGCCATCATTTGATTTTGAGTACTGGCGATGGGTCTAACGGCTTTAACTGTTCTGTGAATTGGTAGTGGACTTGGAGAAGGACTGTTCGTAGGCTTCACGTTTTTTCCCGGTTCGAAAGTAGTATGAGCTCCTCTTCTTCTTTTCAGGCTATCAGAGCTGTATACTACTTTACCTTCGGCATCTAGAATTACCCTAGCACCTTGCCTTCTTCGTTCAAGTGAATCAATGTTATTACTAGGAATGTTATTATTTTCATTACAAGGTAGCTCATTCAAACTAACATACTCAGTATCTCTGATTTTTCCAGACAAAACCGTCGTTAGATTCTTATTAACAACATCTTGAATAACATTGCTATCTTGAGTAACTACTGGAGATTTTTGATTATTGTTTCTAACGTCAGCAATGGTTACATATTCTCCTGCATCGAATATGCTTTCGTCAAATTTATTATGTTCTTTGTAGGCACTTGGAGACTTACTTCTATCTCGTTTCTGAGCGAAACTGACAATATTAGATTTGATTCGACCGAACATGTTGTTCAAAGGAAGCAACGATGCTTTGATGATGGGTCTTGGGGGTGAAGTCATTACGATTTCTTTTACTGTTACGGTTCCTCCACTAGGGCTAGGCGCTCTAATGGCGTTATTCTTAGTTTCACCTGACTTCACAGCACCGTCAGGTTGATCTATCCTTTCTACGGTTGCGTAACCCGATTCAGGATTGACGCTAACTAGTGATAATTTATTTGTACCATTTACAGTTGTGCTTATAATGCGTTGGATATTACTGGACTCTTCGTTTGTATCATCTACGGTGGTTTTCTTATTTAAAGCGTTGTTTTCTTCTAGCTGCTTCTGGTAGTTTTTGTGCGAAGAGTTGCTGCTATTTTCGCTTTCATCGTCGCTATTCTGCGGCGTTATGACACACATGGATGGTATTCTACTGGAATTAATCGTAGTCTTAACTCGAATTCTTTCGATCCTTTCTGGGCCTTCCATATCGGAAGATTCAGAAAATTCGAAATCCGAACTGCTTCTGACACCGTTAGGGCTACTGATTGACTCTATTGGGGAACTAGAGGTATTGTGCCCGCTATCCGGTGATACGTCTCCGTCGTTCATCTTGTGGATTACGGCTACGACTATGGGTTTGCCGCTGGTAGCTGGACTTCTCTTTACGGTGCCCGTCTTATCGCTGAAATCACGTTCCAGCGAGCTCTCGTTCGATTTGTTTGATAATTTCGATAAGGAACTTTTTCGTTCGGGTACTGCAGGTCCAATTACTAAGGATTTACTGCTTTCGGAAGCTCGTAGTGTCGTGCAAACCGTACCTGCTGAGCTAGTCGTGGTGGAAGTAGAGCCTTTACCAAACAGCTCGTACTCGCTTTCTGCTGATAATACTGTATTGTTTGAGCCGGAGTTTGAAAATGCCGAAGTGGAATGTAACGGTGTAGGAGGCGTGTCTTCTTCTTTGAGTGTTTTCAATCCGCTGTCCATGTGAAAGGAAGTGTAGTAACCTTCCGTATCGCACGAATAAACCGAGCTAGTTTCTCCATCTTCGTGTAGGTCGTGGATAATGTCTGGTGTTAATGTGCCTTCGCTGGTAACGCTTCCTGATGTCGAAGTGTTTACGTTATATCGCCTTCTACTATTTACTGAGCTAGGTTGTTGGTTTAACGAATTATTGGAAGTAGCGGCAGATGTTGAAGATTTAGGATGGGTGGTGGAAGTGATTTCTGAACCGATGGAAGCTCTGCCGCTTTCAGAACTAGCACTCCAGTTCCCACTCGATGAGTGTGGTTCGTCTTTATTACCTAATCTTCTTAACCGTCTTTGTGTTGAACTATCCCTTAATTTTACGGCTATGTTAATGACTTGCGATAAAGGATTAACGGGTATGTTTATGCTAGATTTTTCGGATGATGATATCGAAGAGTTGCGTTCGTGCGTTCTTCTTTCCTTTTCTAAATCTCGTTTTCGTTTTATCGTAACCGTTTCATACAGATTAATTTCATCTATATTTTCTTTACTTTTCATTTCGGGTTTTCCTTCTGCACTCTTATTCATGAGTTTGTCGTATCTACTCTTGCCCCACTGTTTGAGGGTGTTGAAGTGCGATTTTTTATCCACAGATTCTTTCTTGGTGGATCGCAAGAGGTCGCTGCTTTTGCTTCGGATGACGGCACCGGATGTGGAACATTCGTCTATCTCGTGGGTATGTGTCGGCGAGGATGGTTCTTCCCTGTTAAGGAATTTTTATTAAAGTAAAGAGTTGGATGCAAGTGTTGATGTTATGTGGATGAAAAATGCAAAGAATCGATATATTTACAAGAACGATTTTTTTTAAAGCAATGGGCATGCTTTGTTATTGACATGGAACTCATTTGGAGGTCTTTTATGAATAGCATCCAGCCAGTTAGTTGACTTGGTAAGAAGAAATAGTTTGCAGGATTTGAACAAAGATTTTTAAGTGTTTGCAAAAATTTATATTAATTATTGTAACTAAAATGTAAATATTTTCAATATTCAAATAAAAAGTTGTTGACTTTTTATTTTAAAACAAATCCCTACTACATTTAATTTCAGTTTTTAAAATAAATTAGCTACATCATAAAAATGTTTTGACTTTTAATAAAATTACGATAACTTAAATATTACTTTTTCATTCCAAATATTTTAAATACTTACCAAGTGTCCCAAAGAAAACTAAACCAAAAAGGATTTTATTCCAACTTGTTATTGATTTTTTTATCGTTTTTATCATTATTATCGCATATACAAAAAAATATTTTAAATAAAAGTTGTGTGGATATGACTGAATCAGCGGCAAATAATTTTCATCATCGTCTAAGGAAAACCCGTTAAAGCATCCAGACCCTCTCCTAAGTATACTGTATACCAAAGCAATCAAATATGCCTAACAATCCAGTTAGACTAGACACACGCAGGGCCCACAACGCAACACACCATACTGGTGGAATGAAGACATCGCCGCCATCAGAAAAACCTGCAACTCATATAAAAGAAAGCTCACGAGGGCCAGAAGGAATAGGACTATTAACCTGGAGCAAATGCAACACCTAAAAAATGCATACATAACAGGGAAAACTGAATACAGGAAAGAGATAAACACATCGAAAAGAAATCAATGGAAGGAACTATGCATCGAACTATAATAATATAATAATAATAATAATAATACTCTCCCTAATTCAACCCCTTACGAGTGAATTTCAACCCCTGAAGTCGACTGAACGACTTGTGTAGGGGAAGGGACGGCTATTATTATTATTTGCCGTGGCGCTCCGGGGCGACTTAAAGATGATTGATGGTGCCATTTGACTTACTGGTGAGGAAAACCCGGAAAACCTCACCCACCATCATCGAGACGGTAATGTATGGCGAATTTTTTTAATCTGCATGTCATATCAACAGAAATTGAGTTTCTATTAATACGCCACACATCAAATCCTAAACCGAACCATGCAATTTAATTAAAAATCCACATAATCTGGTATGGGATTCAAAACCCAGCAGTCTCAGACTCATAAACTTGCCTATAAATGAATATAAGCGCGATAGACCGCTACACCACCGTCCCTATAAAATGAAGGCTAGGAACAGGGGTATAAAATTGCCACAAGATATATCAAAAATAGTAACCAACTGTATGAAATGCCAAATGAAGAAAAAAGGAGGATTATAGACGAGCTTTTCTGTGACTGGCAACAGGAGGGGGATGAGTGGGAGAGAACACAAGACCATGGCACATTTACAACGGAAGATCTAAAGGACGCCTCTGATAAGATAAAAACAGGCAAATCACACCAGGCCCGGACAGCATTACCTCGGAGATAGTAAAGGCGGCAGCCAGACAAATATCAAATGAGGTCCTCAGGGTATACAACAAAATAGCCAGCACGAAAAAAATTTACCACATGGAAAAAGCCAGCGTTGTAGGGCAAACCAGAAGAACGTAAATTTAGGCCCATCTGTATTCTAGACGTACTAGGTAAGTTTAGAGAACACCTAATTAAGAAAAAAACTAGAGGACTACATTACAATCTCCGACTCCCAATATGGTTTTAGGGAAGGGAAATCTACCGTGGAAGCAGTTGAAGCGATCACTAGAAAAACGGACCACTATTGTGAAGCTATTGTAAGCCTAGACATTAATAACGCATTCAGCACGGCAAAATGGCACCTAATTAATAGAAAACTCGAAGACAACGCCATGCCAAAATGGATAACAAATCTAATCAGCAGTTATTTTCAGAACAGAAAAATATATGTCAAAGGATACAGCAAGAAAATCACCCAGAGTGTTCCACAGGGTTCCGTTCTTGGTCCAATCCTGTTGAACATACTATACGACGACGTACTCCAACTCCAACTACCGGCAGATTGCGAGACGGTCGCATACGCGGACGATCTCACTTAAATAGTGAGATCCAGATCAAAAAAGCGTCTGATTGAGAAATAATCCAAATATGCGACTGGATGGATAGAAACGGCCTTACGCTGGCTATACAGAAGACTACCGCGGTCATATTTAGGGAATCAAGAAACAGGGTAGGTATAACCTTCAAAGTAAGGAACGCAATAATAACACCTATTAGAAATGCAAAATGTCTTGGAATTTACATCGATAACAAGCTGATATACAACGAACATATTAGGAAGACTGTGGAAAAAGCGGAGAAATCCTATGCAGCTTTGGCAAAGCTGATGCCAAACATAAGTGGCCCATCTCAAGCTAAGAGGAAAATACATTCCATTCTCCTGTACGGAGCACCTATGTAGCACAGGATAACTGAGACCAAAACGTACAGTAAAATGATCCAGAGACTACAGAGAAAAATGTTGATCAAAGTATCCTGTGCCTATCGAACAATATCTAGAGAGGCGGCTAACGTAATAGCGGGAATTATACCAATTACATTAATGGTGGATGAAAGGGTGAGGCTTCACTCGAGAAAAAGAAGAGGTGAGGAAATAAACGATATAACAAAAAGACAGAAAAGGAAAAAAACAGAGGCAACGACACAATGGACAAAGACGTTAATTCCAAGATTATATCCGTGGTTACAATGCAAACACAAAAGAACGGACACTACATAACGCAGTTTCTAAATGAGCCATACCTACACATACAGGATAGGGAAAGCCAGTGACTCAAATTGTATGTATTGCAGAGAGACTGACACACCAGAACACACGATTTTCTCATGCGTCAGACATGACAGGGAAATTATTAGGAAACTAGACCTTTCGCCGCAAAATATCGTGGGAAAAATGATGGAGGACCAGGGAAATTTGAATAAAATAGCGGAAAACGTTAGGAAAATAATGAAAAGAAAAGAGGAGGAAGGAAGGGACTTCCAGGAAATGGGAGGAATATAAGAAAAGGGTGAAATTGAAAAATACCACACCCAGATGAAATGCCGAAAGGCAGTCCCAGTGTGGAACGAGGACCCTACAGAGGTGAACGAGGGGTTTTAGTCCTAGTAGCGCCCGGCACTACCAATAGCATAGACACACCCAGCGATTGGTGCCAAGCGGTTTCCCCTACACAAAAAAAGTATATCCAACAAACAATAAATTGCCGGAATATTGCTGGCCTTTTGCTGTAATTGAAGGGAAAATGAATGCGACGATTAAAAGATAAAAGCCTACTTTTGATCTTTCGATAGTGACCCAGCATTATGTTGCTTGTTGATGGCCTTATGAAGGGTAAGTAACTGTATTGGGTAAAAGCATGGTAAAAGTCAAAAGGGTTTTAACTGCCGCAGACGCAACTCCAACAGTCCAGGAGGGCTCCGTCCCGCGTTTATAGATGGAGACACCGGTGATCGCTTGATACATACTCAACGAGTGGACATGTACTATGAGGCCAGTCTTGCATTGCTGGTATTCATTATTCAGTATTCATTGTAATTTTTTACTTTAACATGTTAATTTAGAATATTTTATTAATAATTTTTTTGAAGAATACATTTTTTCTGTATTATTATATTATATAGCTGAATTAAATAAAATGTCTTACAATATTCTACACTCACCGGCACGAAAAACGGAGCAGTTGAATTTTTTTAAACAAACCTAAAATTTTAATGCTTTGTGATGTTTTATTATTATAATATCTTAAACATAAACAATACAACGTGTTTTAAGCATTTTCAAACAACAATTGAACCTTTATTTGAAGAAAAAAAGCGTTTTTGAATAAAAATCAAAAATTGAACGGACTTATCACTTCAAAGTGCATAGTTGGCTATGAAACCATGACCAACAATGCTGTTGTTTTCATTGTTTTGAAAAATTTGACAGATCGAAACACGTTTTAAAGTTGTGCTGCTTTTATTTCACCTACAAAATTATGGCTCTTAATTCCGAAATAGCGGCTGCTATTGTTGCGTTGCTTCAACACGGTAGAAGTGAGCGATATGTTGCCCAACAGTATCACATATCCAATAGCACTGTGCACTGTATTTTTACACGTTTTTTGGAAACTGGAGCTTACACCAGACGACTTGGAACTGGTCCCCAACGAAGAACTAGCGCTCATGATGATCGCTTTATCATCTTACAAAGTCTGCGAAATCGTCATGCTACGGCTGTTGAAATCAGAAATCGACTTCATCACGTCCGGCAAACCAACATAAGCGAACGGACAGTTAGACGAAGACTCGGAGAAGCCAATCTTACCAGTCGTAGACCTGCAAGAGGCCCAGAGCTTCTAAGGCGTCATTGTATTGCGCGATTTCAGTTTGCCAGAAATCATGAGCACTGGGGTGAAAATGAATGGGGGCGCGTTTTGTTTACGGATGAGTCCAGATTTAGCCTGCAGTCTCCAGATGGTCGTGAGAGAGTATGGTGAAGACCACAAGAGCGTTTCGCAGAATGTACCTTCAGTCCTAGGGTAGGCTACCAAGGAGGCTCAGTTATGGTATGGGCCGGAATTTCTATGGAAGCACACACAGAATTGTACATCCTTCCGAGAGGCTCCTTAACTGCTGCCAGGTACATTGATGAAATTCTTCAAGATTTTGTTGTCCCTTATGTTGACTTTATTGGAAATGACTTTCTTCTAATGCATGATAATGCCAGACCTCACATCGCGAGAATCACTCAACAGTACTTAAACGATGTAAACATTCCTGTTATGGAGTGGCCAACGTTAAGCCCGGATGCGAACCAATTGAACATGTTTGGGACATGCTTGGGCGAAGGATGCGAAGTCGTGTTCCTGCTCCTTTAACTTTAAATCAGTTGCAACAAGCTCTTTTAGAGGAATGGGAACATATTCCTCAAGAGGACATTCGCCACTTAATTTTAGGCATGCCAAGGAGGATGCAGGCTATTATTCGAGCACGTGGGGGCAACACACGTTATTAAAAATGCGGCTCCCCAGTTTTTGCTAGCAAGTCGTTTCAGTTTTGATTAATTTAAGGTCATTTAGCAACAACACCAATTTGTGCTTTTTCGTCTTCGTTTTTTAAATTGTTACAAAACCCTTTTTTTCTTCAAATAAAGGTTCAATTGTTGTTAGACAATACTTAAAACATGTTGTTTTGTTTATATTTAAGATATTATAATAATAAAACATCACAAAGCATTAAAATTTCATGTTTGTTTAAAAAAATTCAACTGCTCCGTTTTTCGTGCCGGTGAGTGTATATTGAAATTCCTTGTTTTTGTATAGAATTTATAGTTCAAACGGTACTACTGGTCAAATATCCTGTCTGATGCTGTCTGATCATGTGCCTGATACATGGCCTTTATTAATATGGTAAAAGGCCAGCAATTTCCAGTTAACTTCCCATCAATAGGCCATTAATTGCCAATATATTTATTTCTAGACATTAAAGGGGAAATGAAGGCCTATTAATGGGTTATGATGACAAAGTGACTTCGGCCTGACTGTCGGCCGTAGTGACCTATATATGCCGGCCTTTTAATTAAAAAAGTCAAATGGCCATCAATGTAATTGGAGGGTGACAGTTATTGGGCCTTTAATTCCCCTACACAAATTGTTTGTTGGGTACTGTTTGTGTCATTTTATGTTAATCCGGACCTGGTTATTTCTTTGACTAGTATGTTAGTCGTTTAATCACTATAACGAAAGCATATAAAGCAAATATTATACTGGACGATTTGTTGGTTCTGATCCTCAAAAGAAATGAGCAAAATCCGTAAAACACCCTGTACGTCAATAATAAAGATTGTAAGACCCATTAAACATTTAGAACCACCTCGATTTAAAATATTTCCATTTAACTAAGAAACACCATTAAAAAAATAATGTTGTATACCGTTGAACCTGCACGCCAATGTGTTTTTATGGTAATTTATAACCACACAACCTTTATTTAAAATATTTATTTGTAATATCTCATAATAAATAACCCTGTACAAGTGGTCAAAAAATAGGACACCTTTCTAAAATACAATTCATACAGTATTTAATAAAAATACCAAATCCAAAAATTTTAAAACATTTTAAAATCCGATACATTTCCATTTAAAAAGAGCCTTCTATTTTTTCTGCCCACTTGTGTTCATGTAGAAAAGTGTGTATTGAGTAGCAAGTTGGAATAAAACTACCAATTTATTCAAATCGATTGATGAAAATCATATTTGTATATCTGCTTTTTCAATATCTCGGTTAAAATGGATCAATATTTTTTGAGACACCCAGTATTATAATCCAACATTATTTTATAGAAAATTGCATCTCAAATTTTAGACATTATTACCCTGAAAATAACCTAGAAAAATATTTTACATAATTTTTAATATAATTAATTTCTTCCTTCAAACATTCTTTTATGAAAAAGTTCCTCTATAAAATAAATTCATGAAAAACTGTCAAAACCTTTGTTCAAATCTTAACATAACATCACAACGATTTTTCTTAAAGATAAAAAAGAAGTTAACACTCACCCTGCCGTTAATGCATCCCTGATCTCCTTCTGATCAGTTCCCGCCAACGTATTTCGTCGCCTATTCCTTGTTCTCCTGTTTCTGGGTTTTCTTCTGGCCGTGTTGTCCTCAGCGCCATCTGCGGGCCGTACAGGTATTTCGCCTTTCTGCATTAGCGATCGCCGTTGCGACGACATGCGATCGAAATTTCGGCCGGTAATGTCGACCGCTACTATCTCGGCAGGGAATCTGTAAAGAGGAAACGAGCGTTAGTTGAAGCGGTTATTGTATAGAGGGCAGCATTATGGTGTTAATAAAGAAAATTTGTAAACAAAATAGTTTGAAATAATACTTATTACAAAAAAAATTCTACGATGAATATTCATTATGGAATTAGTTAATCTATTTTGTTTTTGTTGCCATTAAATAAATTATGTTTTAAATTATTTTTATACACGGTGTCCCATAAGTCAAACGAAGTGAGGCACCAGAGGTCATTAGAAACAAAAAAAATGTGTTATCCAAATTGTGACGGTACAAAAGATATTTGAAATATTATTATGTGTCATCCTCTAAATTTATCATTTTTATTTCTAAGCACATAATTTAAATAATATAAAATATTTAAACATTAAGGCCAAATCTAGTTGAATTCAATTCAACATGACAAAACCACTCAACCACCGCCTTTCAAGAATTGACAAGTTTTTCGGCCCGTGGCAACACGACTACAGGGAACAACAATTTTGAAACCAAGCGAAACAAGATCTAACAGCCCTTTTTAACTGCACATAAAAAGGAAGTAGACCTAAAACAATGCATTATTTGCCACTACTAGACTTCGGCTGGTGCGAAATAAAATAGTTTGTTTAAATTGTTAGTGCAAAAAAACTTTAAAAAAGTGCTTGTGCAAATTGTCCAGTGCGTTTGGATTCTGTGAAGGTGTGTTTTAATTTTTGTTTTCATTTTTAAAAACTAAAAAAATCAGACAAGCCCCAAAAAGGGTGGGGGGTAGATTTCAAAAATTAGAGTTTAGATCAAAACATGGCTTGTGTGGTATCAAATGAAAGGTAATTGAGTCTGGAGTTGAATAAAATGCATTTTATTTTTTTAAGCCAGTGGCGCACAAGGGGGGATTTCAAAAATTAGAGTTTACATCAAAAAATGGCTTGTGTGGTATCAAATGAGAGTTGATTGAACCTGCAGTTTAATAAAATTTATTTTATTTTTTAAGCCAGTGGCGCATAAGGGGGGATTTCAAAAATTAGAGTTTACATCAAAAAATGGCTCGAGTGGTATCAAATGAAAGTTGATTGAACCTACAGTTGATTAAAATTTATTTTATTTTCTAAGCCAGTGACGCGCTTATGGGGGGATTTCAAAAATTAGAGTTTACATCAAAAAGTGGCTTGTGTGGTATCAAATGAAAGGTAATTGAGTCTGGAGTTGAATAAAATGCTTTATATTTTTTTAAGCCAGTGGCGCACGAGGGGGGATTTCAAAAATTAGAGTTTATATCAAAAAATGGCTTGTGTGGTATCAAATGAAAGGTAATTGAGTCTGGAGTTGAATGAAATACATTTTTTTTAAGTCAGTGACGCATAAGGGGGGATTTCGAAAATTAGAGTTTAAATCAAATCATGGCTTGTGTGGTATCGAATGAAAGGTAATTGAGTCTGAAGTTGAATAAAATACATTTTTTTAAGCAAGTGGCGCACAAGGGGGAATTTCAGAAATTATAATTTAAATCGAATCAGGGCTTTTTTGATATCAGTATTATCTTTTATTTTAATTAATTTGTTCCAGAAACCAAAATGTCCGATGCTAAGAGAAAACTCTTTGGGAGCGAATTTAAAAAGCAGAGATTGAACAAGCAAACACAGCTTCAAAAACAGTCAGATGCGCTGCAGAACTTCTTGAAAGAAAGTTTCAACGCTCCCACAACCGACCAACATTAGACATGGGTAACGCAGCGCTGCGTTGCGTTATTGCGTTAACGCAGTTGTATGCGTTATGAGCGTTGATACACCAGCTGTTACTGTATCAGCGCAACGCAATTTTCGATACTGAGTCGAAAGGATCGCGAGTTGTTGGTGCGCCATGCGCCAGGCACTGATTCCGTTTTCCGTGACGAGTTGAGAATTTTAATTTACGTAATTGATGCAACTCGTAATGCAGATTACCCAAAATCTATCAAGTAATTATGTTCTTTGCAACATGTCACATCATTTTTTGTAGGATTGTAGGTCGAATTTTATGGATTTTAACCTTGTAGGTACACTGTCAGTTTTTAGTTCTTCCCATTTTGATTTGCTACTAGTATACAAAAATTATATCATTTTTATATAAATTGAAATTTTTGTATTCTTTGTAAAATCCGAACACAATGAAATAAAAAATGGGTGCATTACACTGTTATATTTTTGTTTATTTTTAAACATATAATTTAGTTAAATTCCCAATTGCGTTATTGCCTTGAACACGGTTTGGTCGGTTTGACCCTTATAAAACGACAGCCCGCGCTGAATAACACCGGTATCATGCGATACACCGAGGTGCATCGACTTCATTCGGCGCAGGCAGTGGTGTGGCGCAATAACGCAATTGCGTTAACGCAATGAGTTGGCGCAATAGAATGCGCCGGAGTTAGTGTATCAACGCAAAGAATTTTAGTGCGTTACCCATGTCTAACCAACATTTGAACAACGCCTAGCACCTAGATACTGACTTTCCGGATATGGGCCCCCCTTTAGACGCAACCGTTAGCATTACTGAGCTGGGTAAGTCATCTCAAACGAGTTTGGCGAGTAGTGATGCAGTTCCGTGCAGTTCCAAAAATCAAAATTCGCAAGTTGTGTAGACCTCAGAGAAACATTTAGAAAAGGCTACCGTCCAAAGTATCTCTTCTGACCCAGGATTATGGCCCGAAATCATGCGTGCAGCAGATAGAGTTTTTTTGGTAAAACGTGGTCCAGCTGCACCTTTGTATAATTTTGATTTTCCTTTTGATGATCAGCATAGAAGATTCTCACAAAAACATTACAAGAAAAGGCTTAGGAATGGAGAAGAGGTTTTAAGAGAATAGATGGTATATTCCGTATTTCAAAACGCTTTGTACTGTTTTCCATGTCGACTTTTTGCTACACCATCTAGCTTGAGCGCTGTTGGCAATCGGTGATTTAAAGACTGAAAGCATTTAGGGGACTCTTTAGCACATTATGAAAATGCTAAAACTCATATAGATTGTTTGAAATCATGGCTTGAATTGAAGCGAAGATTGCAAATAGGTGAAACAATAGATGCAGTTTCTCATTGATTCTGAGATAAATCACTGGTCTGAAGTTCTTTTCGGAATTATATCAGTCGTTAAAATGCTAGGTGAAAGCTCTCTAGCTTTTCGAGGAAAAAGCGATAAAATGTATGAACACAATAATGGAAACTTTTTGAAGTTAATTCAGTTATATGACAACATAAAGCACTATATCATTGAGCAAGTTCAAAAGGCCAAGTATTATTCCGTGATTCTTGACTGTACTCCCGATGCAAGTAAAGTAGAACAGATGACATTTGTGGTAAGATTTGTCTTCATACAGGAATCAGAGTCTGAAGTTCAAGTTAATATCAACGAACATTTTTTGGGTTTTCTACCCATTGAGAGATCAACAGCTAAGGAATTGTCGGAGGTTAATTTGCTAAATACTCACAGTAATTATTTCAGCTTTTTGTATAATATTTTTGGTCTAAAAGACATGCCCAAAAATGAGCTACTGGCTCATTTCAAAGATTTGGAAGTAGTTTTAACTGATGGAAATTCAAGCGATCTTAACGCCCTGGAACTAGCCAATGAAATAAGCATTGTTTCGTCATTATTAACAAAAAAGGAAACCCCTGTTGAAGTTCTCAAGTTTATCGCTACACTTAAATTCGCACCAAACTTCAGCATATAATTAAGAATCCTACTTACATTGCCAGTCACTGTGGCTTTAGGGGAAAGAAGCTTTTCAAAACTAAAAATATTAAAAAATTATCTCAGAACAATACAGACGCAAAATCGTCTCAATGGATTGGCAATGATAGCTATAGAACACCAAATTAGACTTGAAATCACTGGTTCGTGAGTTTGTGGTTAGTTAGAATTTATTTATAATATGGGATATTAGTTTAGTTAGCATTACTACATTTTAATTTTTGTTATTTTGCCTTAGGTGCTACAGTTCATCAAATTTCTAGAGGTGATCGACGCCCAGACAGAGAACGCGCTACGTGTGACTAAGATAGCTATTGTACAGTCTGCTAAACAAGTTATTTTAAATAGTTTTTAATATTTTTAGGTAATTAAATTTTAAAAGTGTGGAATAGTTTAGGGATTAAGTTGGTCTGATTGGACTTTCTTAGAACGTTTTTAAAAGCAGCTAAAGATAGTATGTAGAATTGAAAATAATTATTATGCCATAAAAGGTGTTTTGGAATTCCTTCAACCTTTTGAAATTGAGTCAGAAAATATAAATTTTATAGGATAGCGGAAAATACCTATAATTTTTTTGTAGGCCTTTGTAAATCGTGGAAATAGTTTATATTTTATTTCTACCTTATTAAGGAAAATGGTACCTATTATTAATAACGGTTGTTTCTGAAACATTACTAAAATTTTCGAAATTTTGTTTTTCTACAAAATAATAAACTATACTATTAAGAAAAAAATTTATTTCTCTTATAATTTTATAAAAAATAACAGGGGAATATTTACATTTCTTGATCTATTAAACAAAACGATAAATTATCTCGACGAATGACACCATGTTCTAGTACGGAAGCTAACTTTACATTTTTGTTGGTAGTTTCATGGGTTTCATATCAATTTTTTGTAATTGTAGTTTACACGTACATATACCTCTTAACACTTGTTTGCTTTATTAAAAAAGTGTGTTGTTGTGATTTACGTCGAAATAAGTCAAAAACAACTTGAAACCCCATATAAAAATCAAAAAGGAGAAACGGAAAAAAATTGAGCCTGTAAATAAACACAACTCAGAAACAAAAATAGCTATCTAATAATAAAAAAATAAAATTTGATTCTTGTGCAGCTTCATCTATATCATTAACTGTTTTTGGTTTTTTAATGGTTTTTCTTGGTGATGAAAATTCCGATATCTCACGGTTATCGATTCTTTTTTTCTCTCCAGAAATGCGGACGACAGTGTTTTTAGATACTCCTGTGGCTGCAGCAACACGATCATTTACATTTTTAA